AAGCTACCAAGAAATAAACAGATGAAAGATAAAGTTGCTCTACTGAATGTTTGGGCGCCAGGAAGTTGAATGTTTTCTTCCAAGATATCTTGTATTGCTGAAATAATAAAAGTTGGATACTAATTGAAAGATTAATTTTTAATCACAACTTTAATAATTACCCAAAATTTATGTACAGACTATGTTAAATACTTATCTATGACCCACCACCTCTTATGTACAATTAACTAATCTATATTTACAATGAAAACCCTGAATATAATGATGAAAACAATTTCCCCCCCTAATGTACCTGATAATGTGAAATTTTGACTAAGGTTATGCAATAGTTAAATATATAATATAAAATGAAATATAATAATATAAACGTTACAATTATCAAATAAATGCAATAAACCTCTCCAGATATGTGTGCACACTATAACCTGTTAACGAGAGAGTCCAGGGGAGTTACAATCTCAACCCTTGGTGGACAATAAATGTTTTACTAAATTAAGTTACAATGATTAATATTTTATGAAAAAGTGAAGGTAATTATTATTAATGAAAAGTTAAAGCCTTGAAGAGGAAGTATTAAAAGTTAAAAGGTAAAAGGTATTATTACAAATATTTAAATGGAAAACAAAATAAACAAAACTAGTTCTTCCTGCCGGTTTCTTTCTCCGTGGACCTGGGAGGTGGTCAGGATGAAGAACTAGATGCAGGTGGGTAGAGGTCCCAAAACTGGACTCCAATAAAAGGTACTGAGACTTTTTACTCTTTAAACTAAAACCATAGAATTCTTCCCCTGTGTTTAAATCCCCATAAAATTAAATTAAAAGTGCTTCTTCCCTCCCCGACTTGTCCTGGAATCCGTAACTGGGCTAAAAAAACACAGTTGTGTTACTACAAAGTCCTTTGTTCATACAAGAAAGTAAAGAAAAACCAAGAAATGTCAACACGTTGCTTCAAATTGAAGCAAAAACTATAATGTGTTTCTTTGAAAAAAAATAACCTTGGGACTGTATGAAAATGTTTGGATATATTAACTAGGTAATTTTAAGGAACGCCTGGTATATAGATTATAGAATCGAAAAAGTATTAGCCGGTTTAAACGGTATGGAATTGAAATAGATAATTGTTGGCTTTCATCCTCGTAAAGAAATAAAATTTGATGTTATTATAAAAATTTATTACTTGTAATCTGTTAAGGTATTTAGGAAATAAATGGAATAGTTAAATAGACCAGAATGTATTTTGAAAGAGGATTAAAGAAATAGATTTAAATTTCACCAACAATGGCGGATGATGTGACATGTTTTTATATATAATTTATTTATAATTTAAAACTCACCGGCTGTGGTCCAAACTTAAAGTGTTTTCCCAAAACAACAAAATAACAAAAAGGCTTCTTCCAACACAACTGATTTTCCAAAAAAAAATAAAAAATTAAACCAAACTCATGGAATAAAGATGGCCCCCACAGCCGCCTCTGAACACGTCTGCTCACTTCACGATTCCAAGACCAAGTAACGAACACACGATGTTACGACGGAAACGAAGTAGAATTTTACATAGAGGGCGCAACTTGCTGCCAACTTTTAGGCATAAAATTTACTGAAGTTATTCAAATGTTTGGTTTAAGAATGTTTCCAAATGAATTTAATTTGTAATTAAATTAAAGGATTCCAGTGACAAAGCAGTAAATGGGTATTTAAGTAACGGACTCGTTACAAAAGACAGAGTATCTTAAAATAGGAGATGGTGAAGAAGATCTAGAGTTAGAAATTAGAAACACAAAAACATGCAATGAATATAAATATCTCGGATCTATAATATCTAAAGAAGGCACTACCAAAAGAGACATCGAAAACAGAACACAGCAGGGAAAAAAAGGGTAAACATTCTAAACTCTCTACTTTGGTCTAAAGATATTAGACAAGAAACGAAATTGACAATCTATCGAACCTTGGTAGAGCCTATTATAACTTATGGGGCAGAGGTTTGGCAGATAACGCAGAAGGATAGAAAAATAATAAAAGTAGTAGAAATGGATTTTCTAAGGAGAGCCTGTGGTATATCCAAAAAAGATTACATCAGGAATGAAGATATTAGAAGGAGGACAAATACTGTATATTCCAGTGTAGATAGAATTGAAACGAGACAACTAGTGTGGTATGGTCACGTGAAACGAATGAATGAAGATAGATGGCCAAAGAAAGCTTTAAATTACATACCACAACAAAGAAGAAGAAGGGAAAGGCCTTCAGTTGCCTGGGAAGAAAATGTACGGCACATAATGAGAGATAGAGCCATCAGAGAAGACGAATGGATGGACAGAAAACGATGGCGGTCGAAATGCGAGAAACGGCAGAGGCTATAGGAACCTCGCTTATATATATATATATATATATATATATATATATATATATATATATATATATATATATATATATATATATATATATATTTTATTTTGAAATATTTAACTTGGTCAAAATAAACCATAATAAAACTAAGTATGCCATCGTGGACAACTATTTAAGTATGATGGCATACTGTCAAAGTCTTAGTTTTAGTTTTGTTTAATTTATTAAAATTTTTTGTTACTACAATGAGTAATATGTTACCAACTTTTCATGTAAAAAAGAGTCTTTTATCTATTCGATTAAGGATTTTACGGACAATTTTTGTTAAGGGTGCCAACATAGACCGGTCTCCATATATAAAGAATATAAGGCAGAAAAATATACTCATAAATATAAAACAACGTGAAAGGGAAACCTCATTATCAAATTAATAACTTCAAAAAGGTTTTATGATGCTAACTATTTTACCATAATACTCCCGAATCTCTTAAATAATTCTGAGCCATGACAGATTGTAATCGGAACTCTGAAAACTTCTCCATACCGGAACGGCTTAAAACATTATATTTTTAGTCGAATGAAAAGGTTATTCACGTGCCCCTCTTTGCATACAAAACATATGTAAATGTATTGTGTTAACGTTTGTTTACTTTATTACTATTTTTTGTGTAACCAACAGTTCTCTTGGGAGTTGCATGTATTTATGTATGTACGACTAACTTTTATAGGGTTATTTATTAGGTTTCTCATAATGTTTGTTTTTAAATTAATTGTACAAAATATCTGATAAATTGCTGCTATGTAAGTATTTTTAGTATAAATTTAAAAACTTTAAATAATTATAAAATATACAATTGATTTAATAGTTGTTTTTATAGTTGTTTCTTTCTGTAAAATACTTTTACTCGTTTTATCCGATTAACATACCAATCTTCATCTACGTTGCAGATCATTTACTTATCCCTGTTTAAAATAAGAGATGTCTTACGCTACCTACCCGTTCCGTTCCAGAATGACTAGTTCGTGATTAACATTTCTATCTTAAGTTTACTGTCGGATATTCGGAATAGTCCATGTGAAGATTCATTAGACTATTGTCTTAGGTTCTTGCTAAAAAGCTTTTTCTTCTCCATGGTTTTTTCCCATACACTTTGCTCTAAAAAACCAGTTTTAACAAGCCAAATCTCTCCTTATCCATCATCATACAGCCCACATATTAAAATACAGCAAAGAGAACCAAGTAAGTATTGATAGTTTGTCGTTAATTGAAATATTATAGGTGAATATTATTCAATATTTCAATCAACCAACGGTTTAACTAATCAAACAATTCTTAGGATAGCTTTTCTTTCCAGCTAGTATGGTCAATATAGCCAATTAGCTTTTCTAGGCACGGTTCTCACATCCAACAGGATTTACAACAGAGTGCTAAATGGACATCAGACTTCGAATAAATCCTAAAGATTGAGCTACACGTTACATGATATCACTGAAAAAAAGTATTTCATTATTACTGATAACTTTTCTGAAAATTCCAAATCGTAAAAAAATCTCGTAAGATATCTGAAGCAGAATTCAGCAGTCATATCCTTAATGAGAAACATCTGCGTCCATCTAGTGAAGGTATCTTTAAAAATAGAAATCCACCTTTTTTAGTTGGCATCTCTGGCAATGGACAAGACAGTAATTTTAAAACAGTGACTTTAAACTGGGATTTGAAGTAACCCAGCGGGTTTCAGATAATGTAACAATAAAACACTGAAAACTTTGATTTCAAACTTCCACAAAATTTATTTTAAATCTTATCACTACAGCTGTTTCGGCTGATTGCCTTTCTCAAGTAATTTATTTTTGGCTTGGGTCTACAAATTTATAGTCTCTAATGAAATAGGTTGAGGAGGGGAGAACTGTTTATCTCAAGTAGGTCATTCAGAATTATATCTGTGTTTTTTAATTTGTTGATTTCCATAGATTCTAACAAAGATAGCTTAAGGCCTTTATTTTGAATGTGAAGAATTTTAAATTTGTCATTAAAAGAATGATTATGATCTAGAAGGTGAAGTGCGTATGTCGAATCTGTTTTTCTATTCTTGAAAGCCCTTTTATGTTCTGCTATTCGTTTATCAAAGTTTCTACCAGTTTGACCGATGTAAGTTTTTGGGCAGTCGCCACATTGAAGTTTGTACACACCACTATTTAAGTGTTTTTATTTTGGCTCTTGTTATTTTTAATATATTTGCCTAGGTTTGTCAATTTTTGTTGTTATTTTGCCTGTATATGTAATCGAGCAGAAGGTATTGGGTTTTTTCTCTGATGGTGGAAATACTAATTTCAGGGCTTTCTTGTGTAGTTTTTGATTTAACATTTTATTAATTGTTTGTTCGTTGTATCCGTTGTTTACTGCTATTTGCTTAATTATAATTTATTTCAGATAAGTTATTTTGTATCTTTGACACCCGATACATTTTGACACATAATCGGTTTCATCTTTACGCCTACCTATTAGTATCGTGGCATGATATCGTGAGTTTCTTATAATATTTCCTCGATGGAACATTGTTGCACAACTTGCTAAGCTTCCTCTTCATTATAATTACAGAGTATCCAATAACGGTATAGGATGCCATTCATTATAATATATCTTCTCCCACTCTATCTTCTGATTTTAACAGCACAACTCTCAGAAGTCTCAAAAGACTTTATGGTAGAGGCCAAATCTATTTCAGATAACTGTTTTTCTCCAATTTCTCTAGCTTTGGCTATAGGCAAGTTAACAGTCACAAATTAAATTCCTTGGCAATTTCATGATCAATTAAGCGAGTTTATATGCGAAGGAATGTTTTTTTCATGGCACATATTTAATTTTTATTATCAGTAGGCTAAACTGAAGTTCTGAGAAATTGAACATATGTCGGAAATAACCTATGTCGGAATCATGAGAAAATCAGAAAGGCAAATATCTCCAGAATAAACGGCATACATACAAAAACAAGTTATTTCTGCATTTTATGGATTGGTAAAACGTCAAACGCTCGTTTCATATATTCCTAAGAAAAACAAGCCTGTAATCCTTAGTTCCACTAGATAAGAAATACACCATTACAACTCATTAAGGAGAACTCGACGTTGGCCAATGACTATTTTTTATCAAATATTAGACATGAGTTGTGTCAATGTATTTGTCATGTCTAATTATTTCAAATATAATGAAAACACATCCCAAATGAAATTCATGAAGGCACTAGCGAAAAGCTTTTTATGGGGAAACGATTTGAGAATCCTAGAATTAACTTCTTCTTCCTCTTTAAGTTCCACTACTATCGAAGATTGGAAATTATTCTGGCAATTATAATTTTATTGGTTACTCGCCTGAATAGTTCAACTGAACTGCATCCAAACCATTCACGGAGATTGCGTAGCCACGAGATTTTACGTCTTCCTACGCTTCTTCTACGCTATATTCCTTAGTAGTTTGTACTTTTCACCTCTCATGATGTGCCCCAAGTATTCCAATTTCCTGATTTTTATGGAATTTAAAACTTCGCATTATTTTCCTAGTTGTTCGAGAACTTGTTCGTTTGTTTTGTGATCCATCCATGATATTTTCAAAATACGTCGGTAACACCACATTTCGAATGCTTCTAGGTTTTTAATGTTGGATTTTTTAAGTGTCCAAGCTTCAACTCCATACAAAAGGGTAAAGAAAATATAACATCGAAGCATTCTTATCCGAAGCGATATATTGATATCGCGATTACAAAAAAGTTTTCCCATTCTATTAAAAGTTGACCGCGCAATTTCAATGCGGCATCTTATTTCTTTTGTCTGATTAGTATCTTCTGTGATCCATGCTCCAAGGTATTTGTACGAAGATATTTGTTCAATTTCTGTATTATTTAGTACTAGCTTACCTTTGATGTTTTATGCTTTTGTAAATACCATGAACTTGGTTTTCTTTAAATTGATTTTTAGTCCATAATCGTTGCAATATATATTTAGTTGTTCAGCAAGGTGTTGCAGTTCTTCTAGTGTTCCTGCCAGAAGGACGGTGTCGTCAGCATATCTTATGTTATTAAGTGGCTCACCGTTTATTATAAGGCCCTCACTGATCTCGGCAAGCGCTAATTCTGAGATGGCTTCACTGTATAAATTGAATAACAAGGGTGATAAAATACACCCTTGGCGGACACCACGGCGAATCTGGATATCCTTGGTCAGTTCGTTTTCAACTTTCACTTTTGCTGTTTGATTCCAATAGAGGTTACAGATGATTCTAATGTCTCTACTGTCTATGTTTTTATTCAATAAAATTTTTTTAAGTCGATTATGCTGCACTCTGTCAAATGCCTTCTCAATAACATATAGGCATATACTTCCTGATTAATATCTAAGCATCTCTGCGAAAAAACACTTAATGCAAACAGTGCATCTCGTGTTCCCAGTCCTTTCCTAAATCCCATTTGTGTATTACTTATGCCTTCATCTAATTTCTTATGTATTCTATTGTGAATTACTTTTAAAAACAATTTCAAGAGATGACTCATTAAGGCTATGGTTAGATGTTCATTTCACTCCTTTGCATTGGCTTTTTTGGGAAGCAGTATGAATGTTGATTGGAGCCATTCTTTAGGTATTATACCTGTTCTATATATGGTATTGAATAGATCCAGAAGAAGATCAATAGATTCAGTATTCACAATTTTAAGTAATTCGATAGGAACTTCATCAGGCCCGGGAGATTTATCACCTTTAGCTTGTTTCATTGCATATCCAATTTCTTCTCGTATAATGTCAGGCCTGACATTATACAAGAATTAACTTAGGTATAAGAAACTCGATAAAAAATACTTGCACTCGAAGAACCAGTAAAATTTCCAGTCAAAGAAAAATTATTTTCTTTGGCTGGACTTTAGAACTTTAGGACTTTAGAAAGACATTTTACTTATGCTATAATTGTATAAATCCTATGTGTTTATCACGTAATAAGAAAATATGCACAAAATTGCTTCAAAACAATCATAACAAAATAAATTAGTTTAAAATTAGTGTAGTTCACCTGTTGTCAGAATTTTTTACTGAATAAATTTCTTTATTTTTGCATAAAAATTAATGATTGCTATTCCCTTAAATCTTAAACCCTTAAACCTCCTAATTTCATTAAATTTTCCTTAAGATATTATCTAAATTAATATGAATTCATCAGGTCAGATAATTTATGAGAAAACTTGCTTTGTGCTCAATTGGGTTTATTAAAGTGTATTGCTGTTTGAATATAAATTAATTTTACAAATAAAACACAGATATCGATCACAATTCTTTTAATACATCTTTAATTAAATACTTTTGCTCTTAGAGCATCTTCAGGGGCATTTCGTCAAAATATTTTGGCTATCCAGCACGTCATCGAATGTCATAAATATTTAAATACATCTACACAAAACTAAGATAAAGGACAAATAAAAGAATGGCCGTTCTGTCCCCTGCCATTGCCCATGTATATAGCATCCAATCAATTTTAATCTATTTGTCCTTTTTTGGTGTTAGTTTTATCTTTAACACTAAAATAGGACAAATAGTTAAAAAATTGTTGGAATGTTTTACGTAAGCCATTTATCTACACCTAAACTACAAAACACCCGTTATTTAGATAAAGGGAGTTTTTTGGCATTGTAATCTAAATATAATTTCTGGTATATGGCCGTATATCTGGTATATCACTTTTTACAATATTTGTTGCCGTATACCGGCAAAAACGCGGCGAATGTTGTCCTTCAAGTGACCAATTGATTTATGCTTATCGGCGTAGAAGCAACTTCACATAGTCATACATAAAATAGTCTAGCAGTGCTAAATCTCACGATTTTTGAAGCCAATTCACGGTTCAAACCTAAAACTATCCGGTTATCAAAAGCTTCCTTCAATATATCATTTGTGGCACCTGACGTGTGACATGTCGCGCCGTCTTATTAAAACGACAGCTTTTCTAGATCTTCTTCTTCTTTAAGTTCTACTCCTATCAGAGATTAAAAATCATTTTGGCAATTAGAATTTAGTTGCTTACGCGCCTGAATAGTTCAATTGAACTGCATCCAAACCATTCACGGAGTTTGCGTAGCCACGAGATTTTACGTCTTCCTACGCTTCTTCTACCTTTGATTTTATCCTCTAGATCATGGTTGTTTAATTGGGGAATAAAAAAGGTAGCAATCATGGCTCTATAGCGGTGACCATGATTGCTACCAATGGTTCCACCAGACCATAAAGCATACCAAACAGTCAGTTTTTCTGAATATAATGTTTTCTCAACATACATTTGAGGAGTATCTTAATTCCATATAGGGCAGTTTTGTTTGTTGACGTAGTCATTTAACCAAAAGTGAGCTTCATTCTTAAACAAAATTCACTTATGAAAATCGGCAATCTTGTATGGACCCACTCACCGAATCTACCAATCTACGCCTTGCTAGGTGATAATGAATGTACCCTCAATTCATACAAGTAATGGATTTTGTAAGCACGCAAAGTAAGGTCTTTCCGCAAAATCTTCTATAAAGTATTGGACACGTAATCAACCGCTGAACACGATGGCAGATAGACTGATTCGGGTCTTTCTGTATGCAACGCTCTACAGCAGCAACAACTTCTTCTCTACATACTGTACGACGTATGTGTGGATGCATATTATCATTTATAGTACACGTGGGGCAAAAACGTTCCATAGTTAATTAAATAACTTGCTCTGATGGACTATTATATTGACAATAAAATGGACTTAGTGCGCAATACGTATTTCGGACAAGAACAAGTCTATTAAGGCTGAAACTTCAAATCAAACTTAACATAAATCACTTGACCGCTGTCCAAAATGACCAACAGCTAAAAAAGTGTTACCAACTTACAGTTCTATACCTTAAAAAAAACATCCTTTACATGGGCAAGGGGAGGAGACAGAACGGCCATTCTTTCATTTGTCCTTTGTCTAGTGTTAGTTTTTGTGTAGATGTATTTAAATATTTATGACATTCGATGAGGTGCGATAGCCAAAATTTTTTGACAAAATGCCTCTGAAGATGCTCTGAGAGCAAAAGTACTTTGGCAGGATATAATCTGCTTTTGTTTGCAAAATTCATATATTTGAGTATTTAGCCGTATTTTTTTTATATATATAAATTAGTCTACACATACCGCAATTCAGTTTTTATGTATCTTAGGAACGAATATTTTTATCATAGAATTTTAGTTTTCAGATATTTTCTAGTTAAACCACCTAACGAAGAAGTATTGAAATTTTTTTAGGAAATGGCTATCTTACAGCTGATAAGAGTAAGTAATAGAGTTAAATGTATAGAAATAATTATTACTTTTTAGCTAATACCTTTTCGAATTACAAGAGAACGACTTTTCACACCATGCTGAACACGGATGACAAACTGCTAGAATCAACGGAAGATAAACTGAAAGAATGGGAAAACTATATTAAAATTCTTTTTCACGACATACGAGAAGAACCAAGATTGGAAAATAACAACGAAGGGCCAACAATTCTGAAATCTGAAATCATAAATGCATTTAATCATCTCAAAACAAATAAAAGCCCAGGTCCAGACGGAATATACCCAGAAACGTTCAAAGTAATCAGCGAAGAAAATATCGAATTATTTGTCCTTTTATTCAATCGCATTTATGATACAGGTAAAATACCCCAAGATTGTCTGGAGTCAATATTCATCCCACTACCAAAAAAGCCAAACCCACAACACTGCAATGAGTTCCGTCTGATAAGCCTTATGAGTCATGCAGTAAAAGTCCTACTAAAATCGTACATAATCGTATCTATAGAAAGTGCGAAACAATCATCGGAGACGATCAGTTTGGATTCAGAGCCGGCATGGGAACGAGAGAAGCCCTGTTCAGTTTACTAGTTCTCGCCCAAAAATGCTACGACCAACAGAAAGATATATTTATATGCTTTATAGACTTCGAAAAAGCATTTGATAGAGTAAGACACGACCTACTATAAGAACGTTTGCAAGAAGTCGGTTTAGATGGAAAAGACATCAAACTCTTAAAAAACTTGTACTGGAACCAAAAAGCCAGAGTTAGGATCGAAGGTTCCACATCCGCAGAAGTAGAAATTAGGAGGGGAGTTAGACAGGGATGTGTTCTGTCGCCTCTGCTGTTTAATCTTTACTCCGAGTTTCTATTTAAAGAAGCATTGGAAAATTCCAAGGATGGAGTCAAGGTGAATGGCGTAAATATCAACAGTATCAGATACGCCGATGATACAGTGTTAATTGCGGATTCCGACTCAGGTCTACAACGACTCATCGATAAGACCAACTCGACCTGTGAGCAATTTGGTATGAAAATAAACATTAAAAAAACCAAAGTGATGTCAATCCGAAAAAACCAAAACGTACCTCAACCTTGCACAATAAATGGGCACATCTTAGAACAGGTCAATAGATTTAAGTACCTGGGATGTTGGATCGATAGCAGCCTAAATCCTGATCAAGAAATAAGATCGAGAATAGAACAGGCTAGAAAATCTTTTGAAAAAATAAAAAAACTGCTTTGTGATTCTCGAATAAAACTCGAAATTCGACTACGTTTATCAAAATGCTACGTCTGGTCGACTCTTCTATATGCAGTGGAAACGTGGACCCTTAAAACATCAACCGTAAATAAATTGGAGGCCTTTGAAATGTGGATCTACCGGAGAATACTCAAAATTTCATGGACATCGCATACCTCAAACGAAGAAGTGCTGCATAGAATAGGCAAGGAAAGAGAACTTTTTAACACAGTTAAAGTAAGAAAAACATCATACCTAGGCCACATACTGAGAAATAATAAGTACCAATATGCCCAACTTATAGTGAAAGGAAAAATCGAGGGAAAGAGAGGCCTAGGAAGGAAAAGACTATCATGGGTCAGAAACATCCGACAATGGACAGGGCTAAATTTTGAACAGCTAATAAGAACAGCTGAAGATAGAGAAGAGTTTAAAATTGTAGTAGCCAACCTCCATTGAGGAGAGGGCACTTTAAGAAGAAGAAGCTAATACCTAATACCTAACTAATACCTTCCTTCTAATGTGTACGATATCCTGCAATCGACAGTTTACACAATTAAATAGCAATAGCTCACCTCAAATAGAATGAATTATTTTTCTGATTTAAAATCTGCCTTCATAGGGATTTTAAGAGATAGAAGTTTTTCATTATAAATTTCATTACATACATTATAAAATTGTTATCTCTAGGATAATAGTCATCTACTTACATATACCGCATTTATCGATGTGATTCGTGACTGGCAGATCGGGCTTGCAAAGACATTTGTGGGTTATATCGTCGCAGACGGCTCCATCAAACGCGCATTGCTTTGTGTCTCTACATTTGTCTCCAAATTTCTGATTATAGTCGTCTATAACAAACAAATATATAAATAAAAATATTTTTTCACTAATAATTATCAATAAAACGTTAATAAGCTTGTTTAATATATACCATTGATATTGCTTTCTAACGTCTTGTTTTATCACATGTGTACAGTACATTAAAATGCATATTACCAGTAGCACATATTAGTTTTTTAATTTCGGATTTAAAGCTATTACAATATGTAGAAACTATGCCACCAATTCGTATAGGTACCCAAAGCATGGGGTTTCAAATTAAGGTTTGCGCATCAGAAATCTCAGCTATATCCCAGCCAAAATGTAGAGCGTTGTAAAAAATTATTCTATATATCGATTTGAAACTTTGTATCTGAATGCCGTACTGCGTCAAATTACTATCTAAAATTTGAAAACAGTTTTCCGAAAAAAAAAAAAATTTCATTGAACCTGGTAACAATATTTCTGTACAACATTAGGTTGCAGGTCATTATTTTTGTAGTACCTATATAAGTTATAAAAATTTGACAAAAAAACACTTACCCCTTGCGTAATAATTTTATCTTACCTGTGACTCACATGTACCGTGATTAGTGCAGGGTCAAATAAAACATTAAAAATCTCCCATAGATTATAGACTATATTGGTTTGTAAATGTTATTATTGAACGTGAATTGAATTGTGAATGTTATAAATATTGTTATATGTTAAAATTATCAATAAAACACTGAAAACTTTGTTTTTAAACTTCCACAAAATTTATTTTAACTATTATCACTACAGCTGTTTCGGCTGATTGCCTTTCTCAAGTGATCTATTTTTGGCATGCGTTTACAATTTATAGTCTCTAATGAAATAGGTTGAGGAGGGGAGAACTGTTTGTCTCAAGTTGGTCATTCAGAATTATATCTGTGTTTTTTAATTTGCTGATTTCCATAGATTCTAACAAAGATAGCTTAAGGCCTTTATTTTGAATGTGAAGAATTTTAAATTTGTCATTAAAAGAATGATTATGATCTAGAAGGTGAAGTGCGTATGTCGAATCTGTTTTTTCTATTATTGAAAGCCTTTTTAAGTTCTGCTATTCGTTTATTAAAGTTTCTACCAGTTTGACCCAATGTAAGTTTTTGGGCAGTCGCCACATTGAAGTTTCTACACACCACTATTTAAGTGTTTTTTATTTTGGCTCTTGTTATTTTTAATATATTTGCTTAGGTTGTTATTTGTTCGGAAAACTGGTGTTATTCCTTTCTTTTTTATGTGTTTGGCTATTTTTGTTGTTATTTTGCCTGTATATGTAATCGAGCAGAAGGTGCTGGGTTTTTTCTCTGGTGGTGGAAATACTAATTTCAGGGCTTTCTTGTGTAGTTTTTGATTTAACATTTTATTAATTGTTTGTTCGTTGTATCCGTTGTTTACTGCTATTTACTTAATTATATTTAATACTGTCTCAAAGTTGTATTTTGACATCGGAATTTCTGTTAATCTATGTAACATACTATGATATACTACCAGTTTATGCTGTGTTGGATGGGATGATGAATTGTGTATAGTCGTGTCAGTATGTGTAGGTTTATGAAATATGGAGAAGTCATGTTTGTTTTTAAGTCTGATAATTTTTATATGTAAAAAATATATGGATTTATTTTGTTCTGTTTCTATTGTAAATTCAATATGACTATGAAGTGAATTATTATAGGATAAAAATTGGTCGAGTTGCCTGTTAGTTCCTGTGAAACATACCAGTACGTCGCGTCGTCTTGAAAAAACTCGTTTAGCATAGATATATTAGACCTGGAAATTAATATTCACGAATACTTAGATGCAAACCAAGATTGTATCGTACCATTTTATAGACTACTACATACATTTTAAGACCAATAATGAGATATGCCTCAGAAACAAGAACCGACACTACAACACAAAGGCTACTGGACGCATCAGAGATGAGAGTACTGAGAAGAATTACAGGAAATACTCTAAGAGATGCAAAGAAAAGTGAAGACAATAAAAGAAAATATAACGTACAGAGTATAAATGAATGGACAATAAATAGGAGAAAACTGGAATAACTACATAAGCATAATGGGGGAAATCCGTGTCGTTCAAAATAACAAGAGATTAGTCACGAATCGGCAGAAGAAGTATCGGACCACCGCGCAAAAGTGACAAGCTTCGATAGAAGTATTAATCCGCTAATAAACAAGCAAAATTGCTTATAAAGAGAAAGAAAAAGAAGATGAAAAAGAAGCAATACATTTAAGAGATATATCTTAAAAAGGTTAAAGTCATGAACAATTTGTGAAAACTACCTTCATTTTAAAAAAGACTGTTCAAAAATCTGATCTTTTTAAGTCAGAGCTAAAAATCATAATTCTGATGAACACCCGAATGAAAATGGAACTCCCCAAGGGTGAATTATTAGTCCTAGATTCTTTTTGATCGTCATAATGTTTCACTTTACATAAATGGTCTTCTAATTCGACCCGCTTTTTAAATAAAATTTTATATTGGACCGCATTACAAAACGTCAAACTCTTTCATGTGTTAGTTCTTGTTTTGACCCTCTAGTTTTGATAAACTCTTTAATTGTGAAGGGAACCCACTTAATGGAAGAATTATTGCAGATCAAGGTTTAATGGAATAAACCGATAATTAATTTACGAATAATAGGTCAGTGGGAGAAATTTAACGAAAATTTAGCTTAAATCGCTCATATCAAAATTCCGCGTTTCGTCATTTTTGACTTAGACATTATTAGCACAGATTTGGTGATGCAAGTCAAGTTGCATACGGTGCTTGTATCTATATAGTGGCTCTATAATTCCTTGTCATCAATTCTTGTTGCCGCAAAATCGCGTGTCGCACTCTTGAAAAGCAACCTTACCATTCCTAAACTAGAATTAATAGCCATGTAACTCTTAGTCAAATTGATTGAAACAATTATAACTTCCTTTAAAAACCGTGTAAAGATTATTTCTACAAACGCATAGTCAGATTCACAAATTGCTCTCAGCTGGAATAAACATCCCGCTAATAATTATAATACGTTTGTTTTGCATAGAATGGCCAATATTCAGAATCTTGGTAAAAATCTAAAGTGAAGACATATTAAATCACAATTAAATCCTGCGGTTCTCTTGTCCCGCGGTGTATTTAATCAAAAAACATTTTCGTTTTGGTTTCAGGGACCTGAGTTTTTGCTAAACCCCAAAATATATTTTGAAGAAAGTGATACCTTTGAGCAAATTGGATAACTATTATTGAAAGATTTTCTAAATTTTCAAAATTACACAAAGCAGTAGCTTACGTATGTAGGTTTGTATATAATGTGAAACATAGTAATGAGAAAATTAAGGGTACTTTGACACGTAAAGAAATTTCAAACGCTCATGATTTCGTCAATAAAACTAGTCAGCAACAATATTTTGCAACCGATATAGGTCATTTATTAGAAAAAGAACTGGTCGTAGACAAAAAATTGCTTCCTTTTATTCCTTTTTTAGACTCTTCTGGAATTGTATGTGTTGCAGGGCGCTTGGAAAATGCAGGTATAGATTTTAATAATAAATTACCTATATTGTTGCCCGCAAATGATCATTGTTTCTTTACTTATTAAAAAGAAATATTGTAGACTGGACACAGTGGTCCTTAAAATGTATTAGGCAATCTGCGCCTACGATACTGGTCTTTAAGTGGAATCAAGTATGTAAATGTATTATCAAAAAATGCATTAGATGTTATAGATTCAATGTACAAACTGTATCACAACTTATGAATCCACTCCCATTACATAGAGTTAACATCTCGCGCGCTTTCTACACTGTAGGTGTAGATTTTACAGGTCCTCTGTTTATTAGAGCTTCTAGATTACGCAAGGCGCAAACGTTAAATGTTATTTTGCAATTTTTGTTTGCATGGTTACAAAAACCATTTATTTAGAGTTGGTTAGTGAATTATTCTTCTAACGCTTTTTATTAGCAAAGATAAAAAAGTTTGTCCTATCACTAAACTGATTCCTCTTCCATCGTCTGAAGCCAATAGCCTTCTGTAGCACTGTAGTTGTATTTAAAAAGGAAGCTTAGGATATTTCTAGCTGAAGTTATACTTCACCTGGCCGCGCGCCCCCAGGATAGATGAATTTATATAAGAAATGTATTCAAGTGTTGCTACGCCACTGGTAGTAATTAACTTACACGTCTTAAAATCTACCGAGTTAAATATGTATTCAAAAGATATTTTTACCTACAGATTAACTTTCTCCGACCAATTCCTAAAATTTCCCTGTTAGAAAGAATTCAAAAGGTGGGCTTTACCTACCTCTGTATAGAAATAAAGAAATTGTCCCCCAAAATCCCCTTTGTATAGTAACGTATTGAAAATAACAATTTTAAGTATTGAGTAGTATAAAATTGTATCTTAGCTAAACTGCTCGCTTCTTGTTTAGAGGTTTAGTTAATGTTACATAGCTTTGAGTTAAAAGCTGAAAGCTCATTTTTCATATTGAAGTATATTCATATTGAAGAAAACTAGGAAAACTAGAAAAAATTATTAGCGACATTTTAATCTGTATCAGTGCTCGTGTAGTGTGTTGCTAGTGAAAGGTGGACAGTGATCTCAATAAAAGAACTTGCACTAAAACTTTGGCTAGATATTAACTTAGTTGTAGTAACATTTTATTTACCACGCCAGTGGGTGGTCCATCAAGTCAGAAGGACAAACATGACGCTCTAAATGGTAGCAAGATCGCCATCCTAATTTGTTGGATAAATGGCCTTTTAATTCTATCATTAATAACATATTCAAAAACATTACGAAACCACTAAAATCATATTTTTAATCTGGTTAATCTGTTTTTTGTATCATAGCCTAAAATGTAATCATATGCAACATCAATGCTAAACAACCAACGCAACGAGCCCACGTTGCGTTGGTTGTTTAGCATTGTATAATAGAGTTGGGTTATTTTGAATCCACTTTACAAGATGTGTAAACGGAAAAATATTCATGGCTTACAGCCATATATACA